CTCTGCCCATCTCCACACCCTATTTATTGGCTTCTTTGAAATAATAATTTTAAAAAGGTAAGGGAATTTAAAAACTAGAAGAGCTATGGAGCTGCAATCTCTACCATCTAGAGAAGCATGTTTGAAATGCTGTTCATGCAGTTGTTAAACATTTAATTTATTGGACTTATCAAAGGAATTATTTTTGCAAAATGCAGAGTGAACATTTTCTAACTAAAAGAATTAGTATTCAAAGTCTTTATTAGGAAATTGACAACATCAAAGGATGATACTAATATAGGCTATTAGAGTGATAAAATACACTGAAGTAGAACATTCATTGAATTTCTTAGAACTTATGTGAGAGTTTGAAGATTTCTAACTATGGAAGTAAGCAAGCAACATGACCAGAGAAGAGCAGCCCTCATAGATATGAAAGGATTATTCCTAACACAGCTTTACACTGAAACATCTGGAAGAACTACTATGATACTTTAGAGGGTTTGAGAATTTGAACTTAAAGAAATGAACTGGAACATACCATTTAAAAAAAATGCTGCTTTCTTCCGATCTGTCACTCCAGATTAGCCTGCAGAGGAACTTTATGAAACTAAAAACAATCCAGTTCTATTAACGACGATTTAAATTATCTTGGCTATCAGAAACTCTAGGTAAAAGTCAACTCATTCTAGAATATTAACCTGTTGCCTTAGATTATTTGCTCCAATAAATTTTCTAGGTACCAGGTGAACAAACTAAATGGTCATTTAAGACAATGCATGGAGAGATGAGGAGATTCAAGCTTGGTACCCAACACAGCCGATTGTCTATGAGAAATTTAATAGTTCAAGGATGAGAGAACTCTGGCAAGCACCATACACTCCGAAGCTGACTAAGTCTGAAATACGTATTGCATCCTAATCAAATGGAATTTGGAGATTCAGAAATTGATGTGCTCTTTTTTGAGATTTTGCCATTTTTCTTTTCACTTCTAGGAAGTGCAAGGGTGGAAACTTTACTCCATACTCCAAAGCTCTTCAAGAGCCAAGAGTTTGGCTGGCTATAGTCTATGACATGTTACTCATCATGGACACTTCAGTATATTCCAAGGTCCTCACATGTCACTGCCAAGGGCAGTCTCTGTGGTAGCAGATCCACAGAGGCTGGCTTCTTGGTTAATGAGGCCCTCCTGTCCCCTGCTCTTTTCCACCATGCCACCCACAAAGCCTATTCCTGGCGGCTTTCAGGCCAAGGGCCAGCCTTGGAGAGAGTGTGGCATGGCAGAAGCACATTTCTGCTGTCACCTCAGCATCTTGGAGTGAAAATGAATATCTGGCCTGCGTATTACACTTTGATTGGTTGAACGGACAACTGGACGGCTGAACACTTAGCATATTAGGCTTGTATTATATAGGATAGGTGAAAAGAAAGGAAGGCTCAGCCTTTATTCAGCCACAGGTTTCATGTGTCCTAATCCTGGGTGCTAGGGAACATTGATGAACGTTGCAGGAAATGTTTTTTCTTTCTTCAACATTCAAGGCATCTACCCATCCATTCACTTTCTGTCATCCATGTCTGACTCTCTGTCTTCCTAGTTTTCTCTCTGGCAGGGACCCATATAGAGGAAGAGAAAGAAATTGACTTGTTGTGGACACTTTCAGTTCTATAAAAAGGCTAAAACTGCTTTGAATTAGTAAGGCAAAATTTTACATATACCTCCATTACCCCCCCCCCTCCAATGAAATAATTTTGGGTTAAAGCTATCTCATTAAGAAGTAAATATCTTTAGATTTTTATTCATCAAAACATAAAATTCCGATTTTCTTTGACTGATTAGAAATTATGTCTCCAACCTATTTTTATGACTGTTCTTTCATAGGGTTTCTTCTACAAATATCCAAAATATATATCTTGTGTCATAAAATACTTATATTCTTTTGGTCAGTTTTTTTTTTAAAAACCAAAATGCCCTGTGTATTTTGTTGTAAACTCAATTATAATGATTCAGACGTGGAATGCAGCCTGATGTTCTAAATCTTGAGAAATAGACATTTCATTTGTACATACAGAGTGGGAAATGGAACAGGGGGAAATAAGAGATAGTATTAGTATTACAAAAACAGTTTATAAGCAGGTCAGAAAAAGGAACACACTGCAAAGTGGTTAATACTAAATATTCATCCAGTCTGAATAGAGTTTTGTCTTTATTGGTTAGAGTTCGTATTTATAAAAAGGAAATTAGTGAGCCGTGGCCGGTGTTGCTGTGTTGTTCCGTGCACCAAAAGGTTGCCGGTCAGATTCCCAGTCTGATACATACACCAGGTATGGAGCCTAATACCTGGGTTTCAGGCTCGATTCCCAGTAGGGGGCATGCAGGAGGCAGTCAATCCATGTTCTGCTCTCACATTAAAATATTTCTCTCTCTCCCTTTCTCAATAAAGAACATTAGTGATTGTGAACCATCTGCCTTTGATAACATATTCCATTCTCACTATCTTAAACTTTAGAACTATGCTTCTCAGTGGAGTATTTTAGAGTATCCGAATCATTTGGGGACATTGTTTCAAAATTTATGTTGTTCTATCTGTCTCCATTTTGGCAAACCAGCACCTTCAAATCAGAACATATCAGAAACACATTTGCATATCCATCAAGGGTATCTCACTGCAACAAGTGAGAATACACCATGGAGGACCATGGATTTCTCAAAGGAGTCTATTACAGGATTTGGATTGTGGCTGGGTGATTTGGGGGAGGGTTCAAAGAAGCAGGGCTTCAGACTACATTGGGCACTGTCAGAAAGCAGGGCCAGTTCTATAATAAAGCATCTCAGTAAATCTGATCTGCAAGGAGGGAGCCTCGAGTGAAGATCAATCTGTAAATGGTAAACACTTACCAAACATTCAGATGGCATGTTGACCTTATTTATGTCTTTGCTTAGACACAATTTTGAAGTGGCCTTGTTTTGTTGCATTTTACTATGACCTTAGAGTATCTTATCTGAGCTTGATGTTCTGTGAGTCTATTTAGACTTTGTGTACAGTGGTGACTTACCCTTGAGTGCCATGCTGGCTTCTGAATGCCAAGGACAGCTTGCTTTTCTTTCTTTCTTTTTTTAAAAATATATTTTTATTGATTTTTTTTTTTTTTCACAGAGAGGAAGAGAGAGGGATAGAGAGTTAGAAACATCAATGAGAGAGAATCATCGATCAGCTGCCTCTTGCACACCCCCTACTGGGGATGTGCCCACAACCAAGGTACATGCCCTTGCCCGGAATCGAACCCAGGATCTTTTAGTCCACAGGCCAATGCTCTATCCACTGAGCCAAACCGGTCCTGGTTCGCTTTTCTTTTTTATTATCTACCGTTTGCTCTCCTCTCTCCCACAACTGTAGTGGCTACTTCATTTTAGTGGCATATTTCCAAGATTTTATTACAAAGTAGTGTAAATGTACAGAGAAACTAAAAATAATATTATAATAATCATCATGTATCCATCAAACAACGTAAGAAATATCAAGAGATTGTAGATACAAGTATTTGAGTATGTCTCTCAAATCTTAATTCCTTCTGAGAGGGAACTGTTATCTTGAATTTAATGTTTAACATTCTCATGTATTTTCATTCCCATTTAAAACATAAACACATGATACATTATGGTCTCTTCTTCTAGGAATTCTGTAAGATCCAACATTAATACACACCAAGATAATTTTTAATTCTGGGGTTGCTTTAAGTAGGTACTGAAACCTCAAACTACATGAGGAATCATGAAGCCCCCTGTACATCACATAGGGTCACAGGGCATGAAATTATATAATTATTGATAAATATTAGAAATGAATTTTAAAGATCCCATCAAGTATATGTAGTTTTCAAGTTGTTGGTTTTACTTAGCAAGATGCTGGGTGGATTTTTCTTCTTCTCTCCACAGCTTCTGCTCAACATTTTTGACACTAAAGGAGCCACACCAATTGGAAACTCACATTTTCATTTCATGAAGCCAAGGTTTGGCTCCTACTTGCAAATAACATAACATCAAAACAAGTGGCCTGGTATACCCAGCAATAAATCTGTTGAGTCGAATACAAGAATTTCATTACCCTTTACTTCACATTTCTGTATACTATAACCGTTAATTAAACACATCAGTGCCTTCCTCCTTGTAGGCGAACATTTTCTCTCTGACAAGAATGTCAACTGAGAGGATGTGTAGCACCTGGGACCTGCCATTAAAAACACACTCACTTTCACCCAACGAAAAGCTGATGCATTCTGACAGATGGACAGGCAGACAGAGAACGGGGGGCCCATTCCCACCTTTTCTCGAACTAGCTGTCTGAGACTACGGTGATGGGACTGATTGTCTTTGCTTTAGTTGAGGTTTCCAAGGAATCACCCTTATAAGGGTCTGCATCTCTTGTCATTGGGCGTAATTTCAAATAAAAGCAGAAAATCGCCGTGGTCTTCCAAGGTCATTACATGACAGGGACGGGAACTAAATATCGGGCTGTTTTAACAGGAATACCATGAACTGGATGGATTATCCACAGCACACAGTCATCTCTCCCAGTTCTGGAGGCTAGGAACTCCAAAGTCACAACACTGCAGATTCAGTATTTGGTGACTGCTGCCTGCTCCCTGGTTCCCAAATGCCATCGTTTTGCTGAAAGAAGGGATGGGTTAATTAGTTATTCAGGGTTCCTTTTCCTGATGCACTAATTCCATTCATGACCTAACTAACCACTGGGGTTTTACACATATGAATTATGGGTAAGGGAGTAGGAGAGGGCACAGACATTCACACCATAGCATCTGGTTCACCAAAAGTCCCATACCATCTGGGTCACCAAAAGTCCAGACTGTTTGCAACGTTAAGTACACGCAGGCACAGATCAAGTTCATGGGGATGGCTGGAGGGGCCGAGGGGACAAACGCCCCCGGATCTGAGGGCAATGTGAGAGATGTGAATTCCCCTAAGTCCTTATTGTTTCATACTGACATTTAGCTTGTCTTTGCAGGGGAGCACTTAAGAATCTGTCCTCAAGAATATACCTGCTGCACCACCGAAATGGAGGACAAGCTGAGCCAGCAGAGCAAGCTGGAGTTTGAAAACCTTGTGGAAGAGACCAGTCACTTCGTGCGTACCACCTTCGTGTCCAGGCACAAGAAGTTTGATGGTAGGCAAAACAGCCCACTTCCACTTTGTTCTACCTGTGCTTTTCTATGAGAAACACCATGGTCTTATGTGAAAAACCGTGTTTTTTTGTGTGTGTGTTGTTTTTTTTTGTTTGTTTTATAAGTAGGAGCTTTTCTTTCCCTCTTAAATATTTATAACTTTTTTTTTTAAGCATGATTTCCTTGGCCATTTAGATAGTAGTATCTTGGAAAAACCTGACTTAAAGAGCTGTTTTGCACTTGCAGTTTGCCTATGAGATTTCTGAAAGATGTAAGCTCAAGTTTTATGATCAGACTGATTCTAATTCAGATTTTGTAGTGTGTCGTCAGTTTTCATTTTTCCTTGAAAGAATTGAATGCCATTTAAAATGATTTGAAATACAACACTTTGAAAGAGACAGGCATGTTTGAAGTGCCAATGACATGGTGTCCTTTATTTTAGACTGCCTCCTCCCAATAACATAGCCAGGTTTCCCTTTCCAGCTGCAGTGCTTTCTGCATAAGGTTTAAGTCCCCTATTGATTTCCTGATTATTTGCAATTGACTTTACTTCTAAATTCTATTTGTTAAATAAGCCGTTTGTATTAGAAAGTGCAAAGTGCGAAAGCAATTATAAGTAGAATTCCAGTATTGGATTTTCTCATTCGAACTTCAGAAGTATTTTAAAGCAGTCTGATATTTATCAACTGAATTAATAAGGATAAAGTTAATATTCTTAAGTGGTATGTTTTCTTAGGGCTCTAAGAAGTGAATGTACTTTACTCTATGACTCATGGTGAAGCAGACTTGCAAATCCTTGCGAACCTTCCTTGTGCCCTTAGTCCTATTAAGTTGCCTAAGGCAACAGAACTGCCATTCATTTCCTTCCCGCTCTCCAGTCAATGCACAACAGAGCCAGTGTAGAAAGAGGCCTGCCCTAGCTTTTCTTTTTCTTTTTTTGTTTCCCTCAGTAGTAGGTAAAGCGTTCTGCTTCATTGCTGCTTTAAATGAGTATAACAACACCAATTTCTTTCAAATCAGTCCTCCCAAGTTCTAAAAGGCAGGTCCACCTGGTTTCAGTATTCAGGATGATGTGAAATTTTCCACCTAAGCGAATGGGACTTGTATTTCCTGCAAGTATTTTTCAGCATCTTCACATTCTTCTGCTCCCTCTTACTCTGTGTTTGACTTTATTATGTAGATGTATATGAAAATAATTTCTAGTTCTGAAGTGTTACTGTGAACGTTGTTTGTTCCCTTGAATGCACCCAGGGAGTACTTGGAGTTATGCTTGATTGACAGATTACCAATCCAGTGACATTCAGGAGCCCCTGCAGGGGCTCTGTGTTTGAGGAACTATAATGTATCAGTTCAGGTGGAGGCCACTTGAGACACTCCATCTTTTGTGACAGGAAGCAGGTGGGAGGGACCTGCTGCTGCTGATTTCTACATGAGTCTTTGGAAAAACAAGTCTAGTGCCTTTTATAAAATTGTATCCTAAAATTAGGTTGCAACAGTTATAGGTAGTATTCACAGTACATAATGTATATCTTTTAATACAAATAGTAGATGTAAGGTAGCTTTATGGAGAGTTTTTTGTTTTTTTTTGTTGTTGAGTAAAGGTATTCAACAAGGCTGAGTGAGATACTTTTGTATTCTCATATCAATAACAATATCGTTGAATTTATAATTTTTAATCCCACATCTCATTCATTTTATTAAGGAAATCTCCTTCCCTCCCTTTCCCCTTCCTCCTTTCTCCCTTCTTGCCACTGTCCCTCCCTCTCTCCCTTTTTACAGGTGTGTTTTAAATTATGTTAAAGTATTTAGGGGTATTAAGTCAATCTGTTTGACAGTACATTGACTTTTGATTAAGATTAGATCTGACATAGAGGGTGATGAATTATTTAGTAGCAGTGCATTTCATTGCAGTTACATTCTGCTGAAATGGGAGAGAAGTTAAGGTTTTTCCCAAGAAAGCTTTCAACTAGACTTAAAAAAGAAAAACATCTGGATGTGTCCTGGTGAGCACAGCTTCTGTAGAGCTCAGTCTTTAAAAAAAAAGTTATAGAAACATGTCAATTAAAAAGTCACCATTATCATGTTTGCCTTTTCTTTTGTCAATTGCATGAAGTTTAGTCAGGCTTACCTTCTTATCCCTAGAAAGTGATGCCCTAAGTCAGCTTTTAGGAACTTCAAGTGTGTAGCTTTCCATTTTTTCCCCTGGCTGTTCCCCACCCCCTCCCCCCCTTCACATTTCCCAGTGATGTTTATTGATGAGTATCCATTGGTAAGTACAGAAGAACTATGTAGGGTCAGTTCTGGAATGTTACCTTCCCAGTCTTAAGGGCTTTGCATTTTATTCCCCTAAAAGGTGATTTTGCAGGATCACCCCGTAGGAATAACAGGATAGCCATATAAGTTATTTCTGTTCTGAGTCATTGTGCATTTCTTCCGGGGTCTCCTGATCCAAAGTGTGCCTTTTGCATTCCTGCCTCTAGTCCCACTTTAATCTCGAGATCTTGATTTGTCCTCTGTGTTTTGCATGTCTTTATTTGCTAGATGTTTTATTTTATTTTAAATAATATGAATGGTGACTATATTATAGGAAGAGGTGACCCCTTTCCTCTCTATTTTCATTAAGTACAATAACATTTTAAATTATGCCTGGTACATGTGATTCAGTCCAAATTATATGGAGAGGCCAGCCAGATTCAATCACTGTTAAAATTAGTCTATAGTTGTTGCTTTCCTTGTTATTCTGGGAATGTTTTGATTCCATTAACCTTTGTTATTTGACAGAAGTGACTTTTATATTTTGGAATTCAAAATACTTAACATAACACTGCATTCTGTTTGTTGTCATATTCTTTCCCAGTTACTATTAACATCTTGAGTAATATTTATAAGATAACACTGTATACATTTATAAATATTCATTGGGTGATTGGAACCTAAACCTGAATTAATACGCTTTTTTCTCTACATTCCCAAATGGCCAACTTTTGTTCCATATACCCATTAGCCTAAAAGATGTAGCTGAGAAGCAATAAATTGAAAAAAAGGTTGAATATGAAGACAATGAGTTGAAAAGTATGTATTCTCAATTGCTGAAATTTTTATTTTTTTGCAAGGAATTTGCTTATCACTCTGTGGAATTGTTTTGTTTTTAAATATAGAATTGAAATGCTATGATAAATGTAGATAAAATAAGTGTTTATATACTCTTGACACTGGTGCTTTTCCCTATACCACATCTTTTTGTATGTTTATTTTCCTTTCTCTGGCCAAATCTCCACCTCTGGTTTGCATTACATACACCTGCAGGCCCCTCACCATGTTGGTCAGGGTCTGACTGCTGCAAAGAGCCCCTCAGAATTATAGAGATACTTTCAATGTGATTGAGAGGCAAGCCCAGATTCTCTGTTACACCCCAGTGGGGATGAGCACTCAGCCTGGTTCAAGTGGCAGGTGGTCATAACATTTCTCCTGGACTTCTTACCTTTCTCACTCTGCCATACACCCAGCCAGAAGTATACAAAACAAATAAATCATATAAGTTTACAGAAAAAGAAAGGGACATCTTTGTGCCTTCCCTCAGTTGCCTAGCTTTTTTTGTTTTGTGACTGTCTGACCTGTCCAATTGGCATTTGTGTCTAAATCCCAATGGTGGTCATGCATGTCAGTGGTTGATTTGTTAGGATCCTAGGGAAATGGAGAACAAGTGAACACTCTGATAGTGGTAATTGTAATAATGGACAACACCTGGCCTGTACCTTGCCCCTTCTAGATGTTCGCCTATTTACCAGGGTGACCAGCACTCTCAAGACACACAGATAGTCAGTGACTGAGTCAGCCTCCCTTCTGGACTGAGCACTCCTGACTCCTTGTCCTAAACACTTCTACTGTCGTTGTTTGAGTGCTTTTCAGTCCCTGAATGTGTGGAGATTTTATGATAAGCAGCATCTATTCCTCTATCTCCCTCAGCCTGCCCTGCCCCCAAGTAATTGTGGGGAGCAAGTAGAAATGCCTTTCAGAGAAAAGTGGGAGATTTGTTTTTTAATTTAAAAAAATATAATTACCCACCTAAATATAGTCCAGCCTTCAAGGAACCTGGAGTTTAGAGAGAGTAAATGGCTTGCCAAGTTTCCACCAAAATGATGAAACCAAGAGTGTAATCTAACTGACTTACATTAGTCTTAAGAATAGTGATGTGCTAGGAAGTCACTATTTGGTTGAAATTCTCACTAAGCTTTTATTTGGTTTGTGTGGATACTGGCTAAAATTACTGATATTCTTTAACCAGTCAATAGTGATGTTGGTGGGTAAAGAAGCTAGCCCCCCACCCCCACCCCTTTTTTTTTGTGAAGGTAGAATAGCATTCAATTGCAAGTTGTCCTAAATTAAAAGGAAATGAGTGTTTTGTGGAATTTTTTTATTGAATCAATAAAGGCATATTATTTATTCTCCTTAGGTACCAAAGCCTGGTAGCCTCTATCTTGATGTAGGCATCTGCTTTTTATTCTTTGGGAACATGTATGGAATATAGATAATTCAGGGACAGGAAAATTTAGTTGTCAGGGCATTTTATTTTATTTATTTTTTCCCTCAGATTTATTTAAGCTGAAATTTATTTGCATTTGAAACTCAATATGAAGGGTTTTTTGTTTGTTTATTTAGTGTGTTCTTCTGGTCTTATTATTTTTCTCTCCTTGATTTTTATTTATGTATTATATATTAATGATATACATTTGTCCAGAGATTTTGGCAGCAACTACATTTTTAAAAGCAAAATAAAAGTTCAGCAGTAGTTTCCATCTTTCTGAAGAACTTATTCTACAGTAACATCCTCAGAATTCTCATTTTACTGAATGAGGAAATAATTTATACACAGCATCATAATATTTTATACTGCAAACCTGCTGTATTTTCTTTTAAAATATCATTTTTCATCTATATAGTGTAGAGACAGCAATAATAGAATGATAGCTTTAAAGTATGGATCTACTTTTCTCAGAGAATA